TCCCATTTGGCTGAGAGAGGAGAGGGAGCACCACAGAGAGTTTGCTGGAAGCTGGACTTGTAGCACAGCCACCAGTTCCCAGGTAGGACATCCAAATTCAGATAACTCGTCAGCCACACGTAGACAAGGAGAAAACTCTGTTGCTTTTTCGGGTTCTTTTTCTTAGAACAGTAGAAAGCAATAGAGAATTTTTCAGCATTATGTATTTCCTCATATCATTCATTTTCTAAGGGGGAGACTTATACTGCACTCGAGATGATATTTTAAGCTTTACTGGTTTTGCTAAGCTGTAAGGGCAACCAACAACATGTTAACGCAGATGACTGCAGTCAGACCTAACCTTATCCTCTCTGTGCTTTTAAGTACCCAAGCTCCAAAAGAGGCCACATTTTAGCATGTTAGTGTGACAGAACAAATCAACTCAAATGCAGTAACGTGGCTTCTGGACTGGAGGTGGCTTCTGCCCATCCGAATTAGATTTAGAAAGAAAAAAATCCCACAAAATCTTTCTGTACCTGCACAGAACAGATATATCTTAAGACAGAAAACTATCTCTGCTTAAATAAAATACATCCCTTAGTTAAATTCCAAATTCTAGCCAAAGCAATGAATTACTCTATTTACTCTCAAGGCTGTCTTTACAGCCAAATATGATTATTGATAACTGTAATGCAAGAGATATGCTCTTTGCTTTGCATCACAGCAAGATCAAATATTCCTGCATAGCCTTGATGGCTGATTGAGTAGAGAGATGTGTAGGGATCACACGGTCCTACTAGGCAAAAAAATGTTGAGTTTGCAGGACACTGTAAGGTCCTGGTCTGATTGCTCATATGTAAAACATGAAATTTATATCTGAATAAGCATCTGAAAGATAATAACAGGTTCTAGAAACTGTTAGAAATTAATCGAAGGAAAAGGGGAGGAATATCAGGGTCTAGAATAGATTGCAACACTGGTTGATTATATTCACAAACAAAAGAGAAACACTTCTGTACAAGGTGTTATACTTCCCAACATAATCAATGCACGATGAAGGAAGAGGCACAAAGTTTGTACTTTTTAAGGCTTTGATTTATGCAGTCCCGTGATGTTTACAAAGTTGCTCACACATATTTACATGTCTCCACACAGCTACCATGTGAGATAGATTCTGGGCACCCAAATGCAAAGTGCATCCTTTATTTTGCCAGTCTCTCCCCTCCAAGTTTCTGGTGGGTGAATTCTCTCTAAGCCTGGTGCTGGCTACATTTTCCACTCTGGTCCTTCGCTTCAGTCCTGATCAGCCCTCCTCTCCTCCCCTTCCAGCTGAGTAACAAAACAAAAGATTTGGAGGGAAGCTGCCCAGCAGCAAAAGTTTCAGGCAAGGAAGCTGGAGGGAAGATATTGATCAGCGTCAAACCACTTTTGAAATAATGGAAGGAGAGGGAAAGGAGAGTTTCATTCTTTTCTAGTAAAAGTGGTATTGATTCAATTCTGTCTGTATAACTGAAATAGCTCGCTGGCTCCGGTGAAGCCAACTTTCTCCTCACTCTGGTCTCTCTTTCCTGCTTATTCAAAAGTGGAGGATGGATGAAATAGAGGAACATAGTCCCTAGTCTGGGACATAGGATCAAATCAGGTTCTCTATCCTGCCAAATGTTAAACACTGTAAAAAAAACAAGCAGATTGCTTGGATTCTCCTACTTTTCCATGGAGGAGCAAGGGCAAGTCAAGCTCTTCTTCACCATAACTCCTTTGCTGTGTGAAGTAAAGGAGGGTGGTTGACCATCTTTTGGCACACTGGGTGACCCATCTTTTCGCTTGTTCAACTGAAAGTCCAGTTCTGCAGCAAGATGACAGCATGTGACTAAAAAGCTGTAGTAGGCAGAACACTTCCAGTAGCTGTGTTAAAGAAGAAACTTTTCTGGGAGTGTACTATTATTTTATATTTTTTTCTTTTTAAAAATAATACTAAAAGTGCCTGGAATACAAGATGTAGGGTATTTTATGTCTAATCATGAATGACTATAAATATAAATAATAAGCTACCTGTTGCATTTTCACAGTACAAACAGTTTAAGGAGCAGTAAAGCTGAAGCCACTTCTACACTTCAGTGGACAGAGAGAAAAACTGAACCTGAAGGATGGAAACACTCCAATTATTCAGTCCATGACGCTTTTGTGGATCACACTAGTTCTGATCCCATTTCTGCTGCTGACCTTGGTTTGAGCATAGGAAAGTCTCTCTTGCTGGTAGAGTTTGCCATAATGCATCGTCACAACCTCACTAAAATCAGTGGAGTTGTAAGAAGTTTGCAACTAAGGATTTGTCATCTAGCGATCTTCTCTGTCCTGTATTGGTAAACACTGGGACAAGCATCCTGCCCTACCTTTCGGTTATATTTTCAAAATAAGTCAATATATGATTATGATGATTCTGTGATATCAGGGATATTAAGACAAGCATGTTAGGGCATCAGAAAAGCCTCTCATCGCTTATTTTGGTCATTCGAATATGGTCCTCCTTATACATCAACAGAAAACAGTTATATTTTCAAAATAAGTCAGTATAAGATTATGAAGATTCTGTGATACCAGGGATATTAAGACAAGCACGTTAATGCACCAGAAAAGCCAACTATGGGAACAGGTTTGTTTCAGCACGTGGCTCACGCCCTGTCTCCATGAGGTAGATGGGAAGGGCTCATCGCTTATTTTGGTCATTCCTATATGGTCCTCCTTATACATCAACAGAAAACCTGCCCTTGCATTCAGCAGGAGAAAAACAAACCTCTAGTTCTGAATATGCTATAAAATATACCTTAATCATTTGGGGCAGAATTCTTGTTTAATAGTAAAGGCAGTGCCCAAACATGGAAGAGTTAAATAGCACAGGTCAGTCTTAGGGGAACTGGAAATGCCCTGAATCAATGGAGCTATTCACGCTGCAGATGTTATAAACATATCCACTATACTTTAAAATGTTTAATCTTTTTACTTTTACAGATCAGTTTTATGTTGCTAGGTTATTTTGAGTGAAATCATTATATTATCACAGGAGGAAATGCCATGGCACTAATAGGTGCTTTAAAACAAAATGTTAACACTTCAACTGATATAGCATCTTGAACTTATTATTTATATTAAAATCAGTATAATTTCTACCAGGGAGATTTTTTTTTTAAAAGGTGATTTAATATAGTTGAAATTACATGAAAGATTTCCCCACAGACTTAATGGCAGTATCATAAGATGTTATAAACATATCCACTATACTTTAAAATGTTTAATCTTTTTACTTTTACAGATCAGTTTTATGTTGCTAGGTTATTTTGAGTGAAATCATTATATTATCACAGGAGGAAATGCCATGGCACTAATAGGTGCTTTAAAACAAAATGTTAACACTTCAACTGATATAGCATCTTGAACTTATTATTTATATTAAAATCAGTATAATTTCTACCAGGGAGATTTTTTTTTTAAAAGGTGATTTAATATAGTTGAAATTACATGAAAGATTTCCCCACAGACTTAATGGCAGTATCATACTGTGAGAAAGCAGGAAAGGGATGTAACTGTATATCTGCTAAAAAACCAATATTGCATTTTAATAATTTTTTCCTATCTGTTACCACGTGTTATAAAGTCGACGTTAACACATACCTAGTAAGAGGATTTTTTAGATATTAAAAATGCTGCACATCCAGAGCATAAAAAACCCAAAGTGAGTGCTAACACATACCTAGTAAGAGGATTTTTTTAGATATTAAAAATGCTACACATCCAGAGCATAAAAAACCCAAAGTGAGTACCGTTATGAGAAAAAAGAATTACTCATTCGTTTAGAATTCAAAAAGTAATTTTACAATTCCATAACCAATGCACTATATACTTACACAGCAAATATTATACATTCTCACCACAGATGGTTTTAAGGGTGATTTATTTCAATAGTTCAGTAACTATAAAAGTGCTGTGTTAAAGATTTCACATTTTATCAGCCGAACAATTTTATGAGGTGATGATGTGAATCTACATCCATCAAAGATCCTATTCCGTGATGAAAAGTTAATGGTTCAGAAAACTGGAGTGCTCTCCTTGGCTGTGTGATTCTGACTGAAAGCAGTTACACAGCAAAAAGGATTGGTTTGGGTTCACACATAGAAACATACTGACAAAAGCAGTATTTTCTGAGCAAGGACTCAGAGTGAATAGCTTTTGTTTACTACAGCAGTCCACACAAGACATTTTGTTAAAAAGTTGAAAAGTTGACAGCAAAAAGGTCTCATTAATAACTGAACTGAAATATCCTATTTCTATAACATGTGAAAAAGCCTTCACTTTGTATAGAGATAAAAACCCTATTAAATTTCATGTGAAGCCCTCTTTGAGAGCAGATGAAATGATATGACCCATATAGTAGACAGCAGACAGGAATCTGAGTAAGCAAACAGGAATTTTAAAACATATATTCATTATATATATTTAAAATACCCACATTTAATGTTGGCATCTCTGCCTTTTTTGAAAGGGGTCGAGCAGAGTTGATCCTAAAGCTTACCCTGTAGCAAGAGTGTTTTGCATTTATCTATGAAATGGATTTTTAACACTTAAATATTGATACAGAACAAAACTCTGATTGCATCATAGATCAGAAGAGCAAAATGTGTTATAAACGTGAACGGAACTAAGATCCACTTAATCTACCAAGTTTTGTAGCAGTGAACAGCTTTCAAAGGCAACTGACAGGCATCACGTTCACTATTTTCAGTATTTCTAATAAATATACACTCACAGACACCTGGCAATCCATTGTAAAATAAAAATCTTATGCCAGCATCTACTTCTGTTTTACAATAACAAAGTAAAACCAGCAGAAGCAAACCAGGATTTTCACTCTGAATGTTATTGTCACTTCTCAAACCTTTTCATCTCACAGCTTTTATACCTGACGCTCTCTAAGTCTATTTTAGCAGATCAGACACCACACCTACAAACAGCACAAACCACTTTACCTTCTGAAAAATCAATCAGTCCCAGCAAATGAAGCAGCTTCAGAGATGCAAATATAATCACAACGATACCCACTGTTTGCAGTCCCTCTGACTCCCACTCGAGAGTCAACATCCTTCCAACAGGCAAATCATTCCAGTCTTCGCACCAGGTCGCAATCAGAGGGAAAGGAGAGGATTTATACCCAGAGTTTGCTTTGAGGAAAGTTGCAGTGGTGTCAAGCAGCGCTGTACCGAGCTGTGGCAATTCACCAGCCCCTCTAGCTGAGACAAAACATTAGCTAAAGCCCTGCATCTCATGCTTCTCTAAGCGCTTGGTTTCAGCAGTAGCGAGTCCTCTCAGAAGGTCGAGGTGGACCACGAGCCCCACGGTATGACATGGTATCCGGCGAGCAGCCTTACTTCAGAGCTGCTGGAGGAACATCTGTGCCGGAGCTGGAGACTTTGGCTGTCTGGATGCCAAGAAGAAAAGCTCCCTGGAAACTTGCAGTCGGGAGCAGGCTGCTATCAGCACTCTGCACTCCAGTGCTCCCAGACCTGGGCTTTGCCACTCTCTCCCCCCTCCTTGCCCCCCCCCTCCCCAGCTTCTCGTAGCACAATTCTGGCTAAGTTTGACAAACGACAGTTTGCTGGAGACAGGCATCTGCTTTCACGTGCGCTAAATGATGCTGCACGTCAGAGAACCACTGCCCTCTGCATTAGAGAGAGTAACGTTCAGGGAAACGCTGTCCCTTCCTCTCCTCAAGCATCGCCAGAATCTAATTAGAATCTTCAGTGGAAACGAGAATGGAAATTAAAGAAATACACAGCAGCACGATCGGTGCCTCCAGCTAGCAAAATGTAGTGCTGTCAAGGAGACATGCACTGCCCAAACCCCTGCTCCGTAGCCAGGCAGACCGTATTCTTTATTGATTGAGAAACAAAACAATGCTTTTCTGTCTAAGGATGCGAACCCAGAAGCGTTGAACACCAAACTCTAATATATGTGAATGGGAATTAGGGATTCCCCACAGCTCCCGGGAAGATCTCACCCAGGCTACGCATCAGGGGGAAAAGAACAGAGGCTTATGATCCCAGCTGATTTATTGGATAGTCTGTATAAAACTCACTGTCCTGTGTTTATTAACGTGATTACCAAGAGGATAGCCGGTGTGAACAGGGTCTGAAGAATACTTATGCAGCAGACATAAATATTACAAGGTTAGACCAAAATGCTTATTCTTGTCTCCATCCTAATAATTTAACTAAATCCTGTCCACTGGTATACAAGGCACTAGATTAAAGTGAAAGGAAGTCTAAGAAAAAATAATTTTAGACACCCTTATTGCTAAAGAAACACATCTGATCTAAAACTAACAACAAATCTCATAAATGACATCTGAAATTGACCACTCATCTTCAGTTGCTTAACTCTTTCCATTAGAAACAACTTTTACTAACTTTTGAGCAGCTCAGAAACTTTCGTTTTTGTTCAGAAAAGAGTAAGAATTTTCAATCAGCATAATAACAAATTATACCATTAACAATCTATTGTTTATGTGATACCAGGCAGAAAAAGAAAAATGTAATCTCCAATTTACTATCAGGTATTTTCTTTGTTCTTTGAAGGCTGTCTGTATTGAATTACAATAACTAGTCGGAGCCACAGATCTTGTCCATACAGCCAAATTAATGTCATTGATTACTGACTTCAAAGGTTACCCTCTTAAAAAAGACTTTTCCTGTTATTTCTCATGATAGTTCTCTAAATTGGGGGACATATAGAACTTTTTGAATCTCCAAATCCCAGTTTGGAGAAGTAAAGCAGTAAGGACAAGAAACTATGTGGAAAGGAAAAGGAAGCGATGTATGAAATGCTTTCTTTAATACACCATGCAACAGATTCAAGCAACTTACAGTCACTTACAAAGGTGAATTCTTCTGGAAATAGTTCAATCAAAAATATCCCATGCCTCAAAGCATTTGAAAATGAAATCAATCTTGAACAAGGAGACAATAAAATCCAGTTATATACATAGGGCACCTCTTCGTATTATGATCCCTTCCTAAATTCAGAGCCAAGTGTAATTTCTCTCGCATCGGATTTTGTTAATTTCAAAATAAATATTTCTGTGACACGTCCTTATGGAGAGCCTACATTGATACTACAAGAAAATTTCAGAAGCTGTTCAAAGAAAAGGAGTTTTTAATCAATGCCACTCCGAGGATAACAACAGAAAACACCATCCTTTACACGAAGCACTGAAACTAAGGGGTGGCAGGTTGTGATCTCCAAGCATTACCCTGGTTTGTTGTCTTTCCCTAATTCCTGCTTTCATTTTCAACATTGCGATGCATTCTGGTGGTGATTCAGTAATATATTTAAATTCACATAAACTTTCTTGTAATTCTTCAATAAATTTCATTGGGGGGGGAAAAAAAGCAGTAGCATTATTAGGAAGATATCCCATCCAAACGGTGTATCTTCCACAGGCTGTAAATTCCTCTCTACAAAGATTTGAAGCCGAACCTTTATTGTTTGCTGGACACTCAGGTGCTATCACCTTGTGGTTTTACTGAAATGTTAATGCATGGAAAATTAATTTATATTACTGCAATTAATATAAAAAAGACACCTTTAAAATGACACTGTAGTACCTACTAAGTAAATTTTAGATCCAATTGCTGTATACTTGTAGAATACCTACAGTTTTCCCCTGCTTGCTGGTAGAAGAAAAAAATACTCAGAAATATTATTTATAAAGCTTAGATATGGGAAATTAAATTCTAATAATTTCAAAGTTGACTAAAAGCATAGAAGATCTTCCATTTCAAAACAAACAATATTCCACCTAATTTAACATATCACAAGAAGTAGCAAATGCTCAAGAGTAACAAGTAAGATGTTATTAATTGAACAACTAAGGAATAAACCATTTTGAAATCCTAAAAATAGCTAAATACGCTAATCACAGAATTATTATCAGGGTATTAAATGCCTCTATAATTTTATATGATTGCAGAGTTCTTTCAAAATTATCTGGTATTATCATACTTTCTTTATATACTTCAATAAACTAGTTTAATTCCAGTAAACTCTCAGTTTTTAACTATAACCTGTCACTGTAATTAACAGAGTAAAAAGAAGTATTTCTCTTTTACGTGTGTTAATCTTAATAAAATAATAATGGAACTAAAAAATCTTTATATCTATGCTTACAAGAAGTTTTTACTATAATTTATAAACTCTTCATCTTTTCAATTTCTTCTGACTTGTAGATGAGAGTAGAGAAATATGAATGCCTACTTGATCCCAAATACATTAGAGTGTTTTATGTCTCTCCACAGGTTTTTTTTAAATATCTGCTTGTAAACAGTATCAGTCTTTCAGGCTTTTCTCAAAGAGAAATCTCTTCATACTTACAGTGATTTTCATTTCTTTTCTGTGCAGACATTCTGGATTTGCTGTTCTTTAATGTAGAATGGAGCTGATCAAAATTGAATAGTTTTCAAGGTAAGAATGTATTATTATTCATTAATTGACTTGAATTATATTGCTTTTCTAAGTGAGGAAGTCTGTTCAGTGTTGTAACTTATTTACAGAGGGGGAAAAGAAAGTCTTAGTTGGCTAGCAGTAAGAGTTCATTAGACTCTATTTGATAATTTCCCCCAACGTAGCTGAAAAGGGAAACTGATGATGAGTTAGAAATAGAAACAAAATTTGGAAGTATTAATTAGCTGCCCTTCTTTCTGTATTCTCTTTTTTCCAGAGGGAAATGTCAGTCAGCCAGAAGAGAAAGGAATTGTGAAATAAACACAGAAAGGGCACCTATGTACAGGTCAGACGAACTGCTAAGCTTCAGCTTCTTGTTCATGCCAGATCTGAGCTTATTAGGAAAGTTATGTGGTGGATAATGAACTTAATCCTCCTATTAGTTAGGTAGTAAGGAGTCTGTTCGCAGGCAATACTACAGTTTTCTATGCCAAAAAAGTTTTTATCTTAGATCTGCAGAAGAAAACTGTTTCCACTAGAAAGCATTGAGAGAACCAAGGGAAGCAATTAATTTACACATGCCCTTTCAAGAATTATTCTCAGGGTAAAAGAATTCACATTTTACAAATACAACACCTCCTGCATAGGCTGTTAGAGCCAATCACAGAATATCATGTAATTTTCATATAATGCTTAGAAAAATGAGACTAATATTTGGAATCACTTTGTTTATCTTGTCAGTGCTGCAGCTACTGAAAAGCACAACACTGTGCTAGCAGATTACTTATCCAACCATAATCGCAGAGAAATTTTTGCTAGTTAGAAGAGCTAGGTAGAGTGTAATTACCCAAGATTAAATTTCTCAGGCTTCATATATCATCTTTAATATTTACACTAAGTGCCCTAGATCCTTAATGACTGTCAGTGAATGTAAGCTGAGAAGGAAAAAAATTCAACACCTGTACAGGCAAGATAAGATTCACTGGTTTGTAATCAAGGAAGAAAATATGGTATCCAAACTTCTGAAGGCTTGGTCTCATACTTAGTAAATTACACCAAAATAATATTGCAGCTAGAACTGTATAAAGTTGGTTTTCTCATTTTAGTAGTCTAGTTTGAGGCTATGATATGGGATTTTATTACTTTTTTTCCTCTTCATTTTCACCTTCTGACTCTCACTTGCTCCTAAGAAGCTTTTGTTCTTGCTTTGATCTAAATCAAAGGACTGTTGCCATTACTGATCTGAAAACAAGAGTGGAAAAGAATCCCACAAGACGTTACCAACCCCCCATGACATAACAGCTACAGGTGGTTCCATTTTTCTATAAAATTAATTGATAAAGTGTGTTATACAATTATGCTTAAAATAGCTAGTGTGCAAGTGGATTGTAAATTAAATAGCACAGCCATGGGAGTAACAGTAGCATTTTAATTTATTAAGCTTTAGCAAAGCATTAAAGAGAGGCTATCTCTTTCCTAAACAAGGTTAAATCATATTAGTAATAGTGAGTAATCCAATTCTGGTTTGTTTTACTGCAAAGCCCACTGGCTTATTCGACAAACAAAATTATTTCTAAATTATGTGACTGTGTCTTCAGCCTAGAGACCTGGTTTTCTTTTTTATATTAAATCATACTTGATCTTGCAGCAGCAGGAATTGCCACTACTAAGTTTGTGAATGTAAATGTATGTTTACAGAGGAGAAGTGCTGTACAATGGAACTACCAGGGGCCAGGCAAACCCAAATACTTTATTAGCTGTAACACAACTGGGTTATCACAAAGCTCAGAGTGGGTTAACCTCACCAGAAGAGAGTCAACAGTAAAGGAAACTTGCCCCACAAAAGCTTGTTGTAGATTCGCTCTACAGTTAAATGATTGTTTTTTCTCTGGGCATTGGAATGCTTGAATGGGAACACAGAGTACTTTTAAGAAAGTTCAAGCCCAAGACATGCCTCACCTGTGCACCCTTGATTCCCATTCCTTCTTCTGGAATATTATCTAAGTAAACCTTTGACCTGCCTTCCTCCGACTAACTTTACACACAAGACATGCTCT